ACTGGCAATCTCTGTTTTATTCTGTTTCTAAGCCTTTGACAACTTTACACTCCTTACTTAAGTGGAATCCTGTAGCATTTGATTGCTAAGCAAGCTCTTTACAACTTGAGTCACATCCCCAGTCTTTATTTTCTGGTTTTTGTTTGTTTGTTTGTTTCTTTGTGGCTATCCTCTTGGGAGAGAGGTGCTATCTTGTGGTTTTGATTTACATTTCTCTTATGATTGGTGATAGTATCTTTTCCTATGTGTATATTGGACATTTGTATGTGTGTATGTATGTATGTATGTGTGTGTGTATATATGTGTGTGTTGCATATGGATATATATATACATTTATATGTATTTAAATATGTATATCTATATATACATATTTGATAGATATCTATTCAAGGACTTTCTTGGTCATTGGGTTTTTGTTGCTCAGTTTTAGGAAGTTTTATACAGTCTGGATATCACTCTTTCTTGGATGTATGATTTGCAGCCATTTTCTCCCATTCAGCAGCTTGTCTTTGTATTCTGTTGTTTCCTTTGCTGCATAGTACTAACTTTTGTGAGTGTGTATGTGTGTGTGGAACTGGAGTTTGAACTCAGGGTCTACCATTTGAGCCATGCCTCCACATCCCCTTTTGGTGATAAATCCAAGAAATCTTTGACAAATGAAATGTCAAAGCTCTTCCTCTATGTTTTCTTTTAGGAGTTTAGGAGTTTTCAAGTTTTAGTTCATATGTTTAGGTCTTTAATCCATTTTGAGTTAATTTTTAATATAATATAAGGTAAGGATCAAAATGTATTTACTTTTGTGTGTATAAATCAGTTTTTCCAATATAGTTCGCCAAAGAAATATACCACAAATGTTAATATATTGTCTTTTCATGATCATTTTTATCTCAAATGTTTGTGATATACTTAGGAAGTTTTAAATTTTCCCATGGGTTGATTTAGGGTTTTTTTTTTTTTTTTGGTTGTCTATTTCAAAATATGTTAATAAATTTTGTTTGTTAAGGTCTGAGTATTCACTACCAATTATAAATTTTATTGCAATGAAGTTTGTATAGTATTGTTGATTAATAGAGATTGGCTTTGGTCATGACTTCAGGGAAATTAAAACGTGTGCTGGAAAATGTGCACTTGCTACTTGTTGGATTAGTGGTATCTCTACTGCTTTAATGTCTCCGTCCTTAACTGGGTACTTAACCAGCTACTTTACTGGGTAGTTCATTTTACTTTAGGGAGGTACCCATTCTGCTTTATTTGTTTCTGAGAAAGGTATGTTAAAATTCTCTAAGATTGTGGTTCACTCAATTTCTCCTTACAATTTTGTCAGTTTTTGTTTAAGTGTTTTAAGGTATTGTCATATGAATAAAATTTCAGGATTGGTATATTTGCTAGTTGGAGAGTGCTTCTATGTCAAAAAAGAAATTATTTTCATTTTAATTACGTTTTCCTTTATTAGATAAGATTTTCCTTAAAATTAGATTTTTATCTGATACCAATTAAGTTAATTCTTTGGGTTCATATTTTTTCTAGTATATTTCTTATTGCTTTTCAGTTTCACACTTCCTGAATCATTATATTTTCTATTATAAATAGCACATCATTGTTTTTAAAATATAACCTGAAAATCTCTATCCTTTACCTAGCAAGTTTGATTCATTTACACTTACTCAATGTCATGTTTGTATTTATTATTACCTTTTCAATCTTCTTTTCTATATCATCCTTTTACTTTGTTTTTCTTAAAAAATTCTGATTTCTCATGGATTAAGTCAACATTTATTACTTTTGGCTTTTTGAGACAAGATTTCACTAAAGTAACCCAGGCTGACCTCAAACTCATGATCCTCCTGCCTCAGCCTCCTGAGATTGCAGATGTATGCCATCATTCCTGTCTCAGTCAGTATTTTTAAATTCCTTTTTTTTCATGTCTCCTCAGTTACTCAACTGGTTTGGAAATCTTAGAGTTTATTTGTTTGTGAAAGTCAATCATAATCTCTACCCTCTTCCTGAACAATGCTATAGTTGTAGAATAATTTGACTTCATCATCTCTTTCATATTCCCTATTATTTGTTAGTTCTTCCTTGTTTAAGAATTAACACGTAAGTAACCTTGCCATGTTATTATTAAAATTGATACCAATTTATAATTATTTCCATTTCTTTTGTTATCATTGTTTCATGTATTTCTCTATCTTTTGAGGTTTATTCTCTTCCTAGATATATATATATATATATATATATATATATATATATATATATATATATATATTCCTAGTTCCTTTAGGACAAGTGTTTAAGTTATATAATCTCCATCTATAAAACTGTATTCATTCATGCCCACTTATCTTGGATGGTAATTTAGATAGTATAGCATAGCCACTCTTACTTATCTATTATTCTTCCCTTAGCATTTGTGGGTTACTGGTTCATTATTTTTTGTTGCTGTTGTTATGATTTCTCAACAATAATCCTCTCGTAAGAAACCTGTTTTGTTCTAAGTATGAATATGGATATGTGTGAGTAGAAATTTAAATTTCCTGCTGATGACTCATTGGACTTCCTAAATCTTAGGATTCTTATCTTCTCTGAAAATGTTATGGTGTTTTTTTATTCTTCCTATTCTCCCCTAATGGAAAATAAATTATTTGTATATTTACCTTTTCATTCTTTCCACCTTGTTTCTTAACCTTCCTTTTGTATTTTCCATTTATTTATCCTGCGTTGGTGGTATAGTGGTTAGCATAGCTGCCTTCCATTTATTTATCCTTTCATCCTGCATTTTAGATACATTTTCAGATTTATCTGATTATCTACTTCATTGCTTAACTCATACATAAAATTTTTAATTTAACCATTTCTGGAAGTTTTTATTGAATTCTACCTGTTCATTTTTCAATTTCTTCTTCTTTCTTTATGACTTCTAACCATTTTTTAACCATTTTCATCATAGTAAACATATCAATTTTACTATGTCAGATCTAAAGTCTCGGATCATGCTAACCCTCTTGTTTTACTTGTCTCCACTTTCAATTATGCAGGTAATTTCTTCATGTTATTCCTATTTTTTTAAAACTGTGGCCTTCTTGTCTATTTTTAAAAAGTTTTGAGTTTGTTTTCCAGTTTTTTTGATGGAGTCTTGTATGCCCTGAGTTGTAGAAATCTTTCCTGCAAAGGATTATTCATTTGTCACCTCAGAATGTTACTTGTTTATAATCAAATTTGTTTCCCATTACTTATTCAGTTTTAAGTCACACATGGTGTAAATATGAACTAGGGATCCAGTTTCTCAGGATAGGTGTTTTTCATGCCCATTTTCCTAGGCAGAGATAAATTTTTCTGCTCTCTTCTTAAGCCAGTGAAAAGGGTCTCTTACCTCTTTCACAAATAAACTGGTCCTTCCTGCTGCTGATTAATTTGGTTTTGGTTCACTACATGCTATGCCTTCTAAGATGTTATAATCCCAGCCACTGGATAAACAGTCCTACATAACTAGTCACAGTTGTCTATGGACACCTTCTCTGGCTTATGACTTCCGTTTTGCTTTTGGCTGGGAGTTTCCACATCTTTAAGAACTGCTGTATGTTTTAAAATTCTTTGTTCTAGCTTACCTAGCATTTCTGAGTATTTGTAGCAGAGAGAAAATCCATTTGAATTCAATTAGTCATACTGCTGAAATCCTAAGTGCCAGAGTGATCTTTGGAAATATAAATCACTTCACTCACCCCATTATTTAAAATTGTTAAAAGCCTCTTCACTGCAGTTAAAATAAAATGCAATCTGTTTCCCACAGTCTATAGGATCTCTCTTAATCAGGCCCTCCCTGCCTTTCCAACCTTATCTCCTCTGAGTTATTCACTATGCTCTGACCTTATCAGCTTGTCCTCTCATTTACTGCCTTTTCAACTTGAGTGTATGGAGAAAGCAGCTTTGGACTGGAGATGTAGCTCAAGCAGTAGAGCACCTGCTTTGCAAGCATGAATCCCTGAGTTCAAACCCCAGTCCCACCAAAAGAGGCAGGGAGAGAGAGAGAGAGAGAGAGAGAGAGAGAGAGAGAGAGAGAGAGAGAGTGAGCAAGAAAGAGAACGAATGAGAGAGAAAGAGAGAGAGAGCGAGCAACTTTATGTTGGTCCCTGCTTAGTCCTCAGCATCTAGCACAGTGTGTGATCAGCAACAGGTAGGAAATGTATGAGTTGAATAAGTGAAGATGGGAGTAATGCTTAAAATCTTCTAGTTCAACATTCTGCTTTTACAAACACTAAAATGAACTGAGAAAGGACTTGCCGAGTATAAAATCTGTGCTGGGATATTCAAAACAAGTATTCAGGTCTCCTGACTCCCCTGCCCTGTATGTTTTCTGAAGACCGTTCTCCTGGCTGTAAAAAGTCTATATTAAGGATTGGAAAATGATGGTTAGATTATATGGTGACTATGACCTCCCTCCAATTTATGTAATTAATTTTGTGGGATATATGCATATATAATTTTTTCTGAGGAAGAAATCTACAGCTTTTTTCCAATTTTGGAAATGCCAAAGCTTCAGAAAAATCTTAAATATTGTTTGTAAGCTGTTAAGTTCCATGAATGGTTTTCCTTTATTTTCATATTGGTTCTACTATTAATAAGTATGAAGCAATTATGAATTGAATATGCACTATATTGCTGAAGGATCTGGTGTTATAATTTGTATTACAATGTGGTGAATTATAGGTGAAGGGCTTGGTTCTGTGGAATCACTTGGGGAATGAAATTCTTTATAAAGACTGGCAATATGAATGCTCACACGTTGGCTAAACCTTTTTCTTTAGCCATATTTCTGGTACCCATTCCTATGAAATACTGGAAAATACAGCTTTACTCTGTTGGAAATGGAATCATTGGTGTTTTAAGTTTTTACTCAGAAAAACTGAGGCTGAGATGCTAAACAAATTGATCAATATATGTATGACCACGGTCTGTGGAACTTGACTACCCATAAGACCAATCCATTATTTCTTTTTTTTCACTCAATCTGCTATGTGCATAAAATTGGAAAAGGAAATGGTACTGTCTTTGTAGTGGACCTTGGTGCCATATCCTCCTGGGCCAGAGACCATCTGATCTTCACCAAGAACAGCTCTCCATTGACAGATACCCTGGTTATCAGCTATAAATATCTGGAAAGGAGTGGTCAGAGTTGAGTCTATCACAAACTTTTAGAAATTGGGATTTGAGATTCAGGGACAAACAGTTCAGACTTTTTGTGTGTGTGTGTGGCACTGGGGTTTGAACTCAGGGTCTCGCACTTGCTAGGCAGGTGTTCTACCACTTGAGCCACTCCACCAGCCCCAGTTCAGACTTTGATATGTGCATAATTCTACCTACAAATTTGGAATTGTAGGAAGTCATATCTTATTTATGTATATATATATATATATATATATATATATATACATATAAATGTCATGTATATACAAACAAAATCAGTAAAAGGGGAGCAGGATGGAGATGACTTAGGTAAATTTGAAAATTAAATAAATAATGGATTTCCTGGGTCCCTGGCAGATTCCTTATAATTACTCTCTTTTCCACAGAAAGTTGACTGCATTACAATGAAGACTTAACTAAAGAAAAATTTTATTTCCTGTGGATGGGTACTTTTGTTTTTATTTTAGTTTGTCTGTTTCTTTTATTTGTATGTTTGGACATGTATGTCTACAAGCACTATTGTTAGCGAAACCAAATTTGAATGTTGATTTAATTACTTGCTAGCCAAGTGCAATAACTTTGACACTTATACTAAAAAATTATTTGTTGTTTATGTGAAATTCAAATGTAACTGAGTCTATTTTGTGTGTGGCATAGTTTCTTCCTTTGTGAAATAAGGGTGAAGATACCAAATCATTAAAGATGTTTATAATATAAGGGATATCATTAAGCATTTTATAAAACAATTTATGATAAATATGGTTTATTTTCTTTCTTCTCCCTTTCTACCTATGTTACATCTATAATGCAAGAAGTCTTTGCTTACTAAGCTCATCATTATAAGACCACCAACTGGGAGTGCATATTTCCTAGATGTGCTGAACTTTTGTTATTATGTTAGCAGAGTAACACCTAGGTGAAAATGACTTAATTGAAGGTGAAGTTCATAGAGCATGGAATATGGTGAAATATTTTAAATCGTTCATGCAATGATGTCTCTAGTCCTGAAAGGGGATTTAGAGGACTACTTACTTCAACCTACTTAATTTCACCTAGCCAAATCCCATCCCACATCTCTGTAATATTCATTTTTTACTAACTAGCAACAATATGCCAGCTATATGCCTAGATCTTAGTTACAGAAAAATTGATTTGTAATTCCAATCAGCACCTCTTCATCCAGAGGAATTTTTTCCAATGTAGCTCAAACTAACCCACTTTCTATTCAAGGGAAACAGAGCAATGAATATTCCTTAATAGCAATCATCATATATTGCTTTATTTATCATATATTGCTTTATTTATCATAACAGATCCAGTGGGATAAGATTAGCTCTTTGTCTTTAGCAGAACAATGTGGGCTTGCTGATCAGCCACTAAGCAATGGGCTCAAACAAAAATGGCTTCCATTTTTATTTTCCTTGTGCCATCATCATCTCTGGAGATGCCCCTGATATGCAGAGCTCGTGGAGAATATGAATGGGTCTAGTGTAGCTTGTAACTCCTCCTCCTCCTCCTTCTTCAGGGTGCTTTCCTCTCTGTTTTCATACACACTTTGATCTTCATTTTCAACCACATTTTCATCTACATTTATCTTGGGTGACACCTTATTACTCTGCACTGTTTGAGAATATTCAGAAATGTGTGTTCTTGGCTCCAAAGGATAGACTAGTGAATAGTATGACCATGACGCTTTCTCTTCCACTGGGCAAACTGTGGGAGGGCAACTTACATTTGGAAGTGTTTTTGGTGTCATTGGCACCATATTTATAACTTCAGATTGAGATTGAATTGTAGAAGCATCACTCTTTTTGTAACAGTCAGTGCTGAAAGGGATGGCGCAAAACACAAGGTCTGAGGGCAGCAGCCTAATGTCCCTGGCTGGTCGGGTAATCACAAACCTGTAAGGAAAGCCAAGCATGAATTCTGAGCTCTGCAGCTGGATCACTGTAGATATAGGTAATAGCCAAAATGAAGATGTTCTTTTGTTGGACCAAAAGAGAAAATGCTTTTGTTTTGCTTTGCTTCACTATTTGCTGATTAATGGTAAAGATCTCAGGTACGCTGTGATAGGAGAGGTCCTGGAGGAATTAGGGGGTTGGCACTCATCCTGGCTTCTGAAACCAATCATGACTGACCTTAGGCATGACACCTTGATTTTCTGGGCCTTTCTGTTCTCATCATATTAATGAGAGAGAGATAAGACTGGAGTGTGAGCTAATCAGTTTGTTTGTTTGTTTTTAAGTATGGGGTTTGAACTCAGGACCTTGCACATGGTTGACACCACTTAAGCCACGTCCCCAGCCCTGTTTTGCTTTGCTTTTGTCAGGTAGAGTCTCAATGTTTTTTGCCTAGAGCCTGATTCAGACCTAGATTCTCCTACCCTCCAACATAGTTGGTGCTTACAGATGTGTACCTCCAAGTCCTGCTTGCTGGTTGAAATGGGGTCTCACTAAATTTTTGCCCAGGCTGGGCTCAAAGCATAATCCTCGATCTCTGCCTCACAAGTAGCTGGAATTACAGGCTTGAGCTACCATGCCCTGCCTGGACTAGTTGATTTCTAATAGCCTTCCAGACTTCAGGTTTATCTGCTTTCAATAGGATTCACTAATGATTTCAAACAGAACAGCACTGAGCACCTAGCCAAGCTTTGTCAAATTGCAAGATTATATATATTCCAGATGTTTCCATCCTGGTTTAGGCCTACCCTAACCTAATGCTTATGCCATCAAATTTCATGCAAAATGTAGTCTGGTCAATAAATAAAAGAATTTTTTAAAAACTGAAGTTCTACTTGAAACTGACTAGTAAGCAAGTAGTCAATGCCAATGAATGTTAAAGAACACCCAGAGCCTGGGCCTTACATGGGAAGGTTTATTAGGGGAGCAAGGTGCCTTAGCATGGTATCAGATACATAGTAAATCCTTAATAAACGTGAATTGATGACTAGCCTGTGCTCATGTCAGAACATAGACGCAGGATAACCTTGTATGATTTTCATCCTGCTCTTCTATGCTGATGCCTTGATTACCTGTTCTCTATTAATCACAGATCTCAATGCATGCCTGGCCTTCCTTGACTGAATACTCTGCCCATTGTTATCTTCCCATCAAGTCCTCTGTAACCCCAATTCTACTGTAAACTGCAAACAATATTTACCATAATTACATCTTTCCTTTAAAACTGCATATTACTGTATTCTACAGGCTTTTCATAGGTATGGAGGCAGGGAGTAGAGTGCAGCGGGTGGGTGGAGGTAGAGAGAGAGAGAGAGAGAGAGAGAATTTATCATTTTTATTTGTATCAGAATCATCACTTCTTCATCACTGTCTTTGAGGTGAGTTCTATAAAGCCATAAAACCATCTCTATTGATTCATGAGTGTCACCTGTACACCTCCATGTTTATTTAGGTCTTTGCCACTTGGACTGCACTTTCTTTCACATTCCAGTACCACCATCATCTTCTGTGCCTACAGGGGTCTATGTGACTTACAAATCCAACATCTACACACACTTCTCTGACTTCTGCTACCCAATGATCTTCAGCCTCAAACCGCTTTCCTGGCACATCCCAGCTGTTACAATTTCTTGTCACTATCCCACCTAGAGAAATTTTAAGCTTCGATGAGTCACTCTCCGACCATAATGTCCCATCTCTCTTTCTTATGAGTAGATCGTCTCTTTAACTTCAGGATTTCAGTCCTTGTCCTTCACTTCACAAATCCATATTAATCCTCATTTCCATGCTTCCTAGCAGCTAATCTAAACTTTTATCTCTTCTCAACTCCCTATATTACTTCTTTCATCTCCTTTCTCAGCAATGGCTATGCACCATAAATCTTAGTGCTAAATAAAAATTCCCATTAGTATACCTCAAATCTAGAACTATGCCTGTCTTTTCATCTGCTACCTTTTTCCTTTTCTCTTAGTAGAGAATATTTTTCTTTTATTGTAGACCATTTCATTTTGAGTAATTTGGCTTTCTTGCCCTTTCTCCTAGAATGGGTTCCATCCAGCTATTTTCATTCTAATATTTTTAATTTTTCCTTCTCTACTGATTGCTGTCCATTTCCCAGTGTGAGAATCTTGGTTTGGGTCTATGCAATTGTGTTCTCTAGACCGTATCCTCTTTCTGATTCTCAACACTTATTTCCTCTATTTTCCCCACTTCAGGCAGAATGATCTTCCTTTAACGAAACTGAAATCTGAATAAAGTGCTTCTATAATTTGTAACTACAAAATACAGTGGCTAGAAAGAAGCACTCAATAAATATTTATCCATGATTCTAGTAGAAAATAAGTAAATCTTTCCAATGTAGACAGTGGCTTTCAGTTTTAGAAAACTTCACTAACATAGATTACAAAATAAGTCTTATTTTAAATCTAGTTTCAGTTTCAGACAGAAACTACATTCTCTTGCAAGGCCAATATTCATTGAACCCTAATCATTATGAGTCTTGTCTGTATCCATTCCTTCTTATTCCAATATCATTATCTATATTCCCAACACCCTTCCATGCAATGGTAGACCTGAGCTCTAGACTTCTCTTTCACATTGTATAAACTAGATTTGGTTATTACATTTGGGTGAGTGGCTAGCACTTTCCAAACCAGCATACTCCCCTTTTGTTTTCTGGATTGTTTGCCTCATCTTCTATCATGCGGTACAAGCCAACACACAGGATTCCAAAATTATCTAATGAGCCACAAAACAGTTGTCCAAAAGTTCTTTTTGGCTGGAGAGAGAAGAGAAAAATATATGTCTGCTGGGCACTTTTATCAAACAATAAGAAGCACTTACTTTAGTGTCATCTGCCATTCTTTGCAGTAGAGGTATGGAAGACCTGATAGCCATTTTTTGGTACATTTATGGTGATAATGAAAATTAACTATGTAGTTATGGTAGTTTATGATTAGTTTTGAAACTCTAATTCCAATAATTCTTTTTTATCATTCTGGTTCTTCCAAGAGACTCTGGTGGGTGTGGTATGCCATGTGCTCATGTTTATTCTTATTACTATGGCTGTTTTGGAAATCATTAACAATTAACAATAGGCAACAGGTTGGAACATTCAGTTTTTGAGGTGTACAATGAACTGAGATGTTACAAGATCTCCAGGGTGTCATCTTCTTAACCCCTTCTGATGCAGACCACAGTTTCAAGCACTCTTCCTGACCTTGCTCTAAGGCTGTAGTCAACAACGTTTACAGCAGGTTCAGAGGTAGTAAACAGACAGTTCAGATTCAGAAAGGTCAAAAGAGTTTGCTCAGTTCAGTGATTCCTTAGGAAAAAGCAAAGTGAAGACAAGACATAAATGGATGGAGGATGGAGAGGAGCTCAGGCCAATCTGCTGTTGCACCTCATATCACTAAGAGGAGGCTAGCAGCAGTTTCCTGAGCTTAGCATCACTCACTAAGTCAACCATAGATGGGGAGCTCAAGACCACAGAAGTACAAAGGACCAGACCGTACTGTGTGGTGGTCTTCAAAATGCTGTCCAAACCTGGAATTCAAGTTCACAGAACATAGGACATCTCCTTTTTGGTAGCATATGTTGAGACATGGTAGGCATAGAGGCCAGAAGAGCCTACTCCTTGTGAAAGGGACTCCACTAACAGCCTCTGAACCAACAAAAGATGTTTCTGTGTCAATGCCTGCCCCTAACAATAACACTGGACAGATGGATGTCACGTCAATCAAAACTAAGACAAAAGGCACCACACTGAGAAGCAGATTATTTGTGTCCAGGCTGTACTCTACTCTGATACCTATATGTGTAGCTGTCTCACTGGACTTTTCCAGAATTGTTTTCTTCCCCCTTACTATAATCTACTGTTCACCAACAATGTGGGATAAGAAATCTTCAGTGTGTTCTACTGGCTAGCCCACTGAGATCCTAGATGCAATCACAGTTCAGCTTGATTTCAGTTGACCTGAGCAGACTTCTTTAGCATTTCAGGTACTGGGGACAGTGTGTCTACCCAGTTTCAGACTGTCTTAACTGGATTCTTACTGTGACATGATTGACAATGTGGTAGTCTCAAATAAGCCCTTGCTTCTATGGGTCTCAGCTTCTTTATACGTTAAGTGGAATTAATAATTCCTACTATACAAATACTTGGACAGATTAAATGAAAAAAAGCTAGATAGGTGTAATGGGAACAGTAAGCGTTAGTCATTGTAGTTATTAATGTCCTTGTTGTGGTACAAAGTTTAGCAGTGTCTTAGTCCATTATATGCTGCTGTAACAGAATACTTGAGACTGAGTAACTTTTAAAGAACCAAGATTTATTTCTTACAGTTTTGGATAAGACTTGGGACTTTTGGGAAGTCCAAAGTTAAGAGGCCCACACCTGGCAACGGTCTTCTTGCTGCAAGACCATGTGCATGAGGGAGAAGGGAAGGGGCTGGCCTCATTCTTTTATTGAAACCCATTTCCATGATAACTAACCCACTCCTGCAATAATGACATTAATCCATTCATGCCTTGAAGATTTAATCATCTCTTCAAGGTACCACCCATCAACACTGTTCCATTGGGGATTGAGTTTTCAGCATGAACTTTGGGGAACACATTCAAACAATAGCATCAGGCCTCCCTGATGCTGCCTGCAGACTTGGATCATTTATTTGAAAGATATAATATAATAATACCTGCTTTATCTACTTAATAGGTCTGTTCAAAAAACAAAGATGACATGTGAAAATATACTATGAGTTGTAAAATACTCTATGAATATACTGTTGTATTATTTTTTTGCCAATTATTATTATTTCTGTGTTGATGGTCATCTACGAACCCCAACAGCTGGGACCATTTTCAGAAACTCAGAGAGGTAAGGGAGTGAGAAAATATATTATGGGAAGAGTAGACTCACTTGAATATCTGATAAAATGGTTTGGTCTAAAGACAGAAGGCCCAGTTTACAACGCATCCTTCCAGATAAGAATGTAGTACAGCTGTCAGGCATCCCACAAAACGTCTTGTCTAAATGATGTTCCACCTGGGAGCTGACCCCTGCTGTCACCAACATGTGAAGTAATTCCAGGACATGATAATTGTAGAAGGCCTGGAAAACAAGGATAAGACAGGTACAAAGTTAGGAGAGCAAATACGTGAATGGAGAAGGTGCTTGGACTTGGAGATTGAGTGGATGTCACTGTTTGAAATGGACCTGATAATGTGAAGCACAGTTTCTCATTATCATTATCAAAATCAACAACAAGTTTCCAGTTTGGGTAGGGTACAGGGATAGGCAAATTAAGGAGAAAACAAAACTGACTGGTTCCTGTTCCAATCCACCTCACACCGACAAGAAGAAAGTGGGTAATGATAAAGGCACCAAGGTTTCCCCTTTTCCTCAAGTGATCAGAGAAGTATATCACATATCCTAATAATCAATACATATGACTAAATATACATATACATATATATATATGTATATATATATATATGTATATTTAATGACATTTACTATAGATTTTCTCCTGGAGGGCTACTGATATTATTGTCCTATATTCTTGAGTTTTTCGGATGTAAATCTATTTATATTCCTTTGAATTACGCCCTATGTTGAGGACAGGTGGTGACTTAGGTCTTATTGATATTTATAGTTCTCATATGTCTTATTATGTACTTTGGCCATTATAGGTGCTGAATAAACATATGAATAGGGTTTTAGAGTCATATACATCCCAACAAAACCAGAGGATGACATTATTTCAAAGCAAGCTTGAGTCTGAATAATCCTAGTCATTTTTGTGAACTCCCTTTCTGACAGTTCCTACAACATATCAGTGTAGAGTAGACGCTAACATACATGTCAATGTCACTTGATTACCTCAAATCTGTTGAATATATAGTATTTAAAAATTTCCATCCTTTGTCTTATCTTAATTAGACTTTTACTACAGTAGAAATGATAGCTTATTTGTTTATCTAGTTACCCACAGAAAAAGCAATAATTTTGTTTTTATAATAAGCAATAGGAATGACTTTGCTATTGTCTTAGAATTTTTACCATTCATTTTCTGTACTCAGAAATTCAGGGACCTATCTTCTGAAGCTGGATTATTATTATTATTATTGAGATGGGATCTTGCTATGTTTCTCAGATTAATCTTGAGCTCCTTGGATTAAGTGATCCTTCCATCTCAACCTCCCAAGTGCTGGAGTGATAGGCATATGCCACCACATCCAGCTGAAGACTGGATTACTTTAAAGGAACCTTGCCACTAATTTTCCTGACTTAGTTTTCTTCTCAATTTCAATCTACTGTTCACAATGGTTATGGAGAGATTCTCCAGAATCACAAAAACGATCTCAATTGACATCTACTTGCTGCAACTAGTGTTGACCCTGGCTGTAAAACAAAGCCCAGATCCTTACTGTGGTCAAAGCCCTCAGAATCTGGTTCAGCCTCCCATTCTGGGCTCATCTCCATGAATTGCTCTCTTCAGTGCACAGTGGTCTGTCTGCTGCTGCTGAAGGCATACTTTTTCTTCTTTCATGCATGCCTTTGATTTTGGGCCTCTGCTCCAGCTATCCTCAACCCAGTTTTCCTTATTAGAATGAAGTCTTCTCTTTTTATATTTTTTTAGTATGTGGTAGTTATACAAGGGGTTTCATTGTGATATTTCCAAATATACATATATTATACCCCAGTTTGGTTCATTCCTTCCATTATTCTCCCTCTTCTTGATCCCTTGGATACTGACTCTTCTATGTTTCATTCCTGTGCATTTTGTAGTTAGTTTGTGTGAAATATATACCTGATTTTGAATCTTGGGTGTCACACCCTAGCCAAGTGCCTTTAGGCAATTCAAATTTTTTCTCAACAAGTCTCCTTATCTTTAAAGTTGTTGACCTAAAACCTATTTTCTAACACTGTTTATAGGATTTTTAATGAGTTCTGTTGGATCCATTACTAAATTCTGTTCCCTTTGTCATTGGTTCTCACATATCTGGATCACCTGGAGTTATATTAATTAGTGAAGAGAGCTGGGATCCCAGATCTCCTGGGTCAGAATTTATGTATGGGCATGAGGGCTGGAACTTAAAGAACAACCCAGGTGATTCTGACACCCTTGATGCTCTTTGGAACAGATGTAGCAATGCTTCCTTAAAATTGTACACACCTTCAGAGGATGGACTTTGTCTACTTTATAGTCATGTCTTGCATTCAACATGCAGGTCTTGTCATGCATTGAGCAAGGCAAGTGTTTGCAGCTGTAAGAATATTGACTACAACAGGCAGGTGACTTTTAAATAAACAAATATTGCTGGTAAAATGTAGAAGCAACCAGAAGAAGCTGATCTAAGAAATAATATGATTTATATGGAGTAAAAGAAAATCAATATAACCTACAATATTTTTTCAGATTAAAAGTGACTTCGCCCTCATCTCCAGACTGTAAGAATCTCCCAACATTTCTCCTTTGTCCCACCTCCCTCCTATCTGAAGGTGCTTGTGGAATGAGTCCCAACATCCGGGAGGAAATGGAAGATGCAAATCCAGGTTGAGCCACAATCCATTTAAGAACATGTGGCCACAGTTCAGAGTGATCAAACAGAACACTACTAGAATAATTTTCTACTGATTAAAGAAAAGGTGTAAATTCTGGGGTTATCCTGCTGTTGATGGCTCTTGGGAAACATGCTTTACATATTTAACTGAGAAGCTTAGCTTTTGAATATATAATTTCTTAAGTTTTGACATCAAAAGGATTGTGAGTCTATATTGGGGGAAATAATGAGATTTATATGTCACCCTTATTCTGTGAGTTCATCTCCTTATTCTTCTTTTTGAAGTTTTCTGGTATTGACCTTTCTCAACTTCATTTTCTTTCCTTTTACTTTTCTCCTTTCTTTAGCCTTTTTTCTTTTCCTTTTCTATACATTCTTCCTCCCATCTTTCCTTCCACCTTTTCTTTGTTCCTTTTTCTCTCTTCTCAAGAAAATCTGAAAGTTGAAATGTGCTTGAAATACTTTTGGACTTTTAACCTTAGATGGTGTTTCTAAATATAATAATATTTACTAGGATTTGGACTTCCAGTGTTAGAAAATGTTGTAAGCCAAAGTGTTTTAGCTTTTAGCTGCAATGAAACATAGTATTTCTCAAAATCTAAAATATTATCTAATAGCATCCCTGCCATTAGTTCCTTTTAATTCCAAGAATCTCAAAAAATCAGATATCCTTTGGGAGACATTCCCAATCAAGAGTGTGGCTATATGTAAGTGAGGCTGCATGTGAGTGAAAGAAACTAACCAGCCAGCTCAGGGGCCTTGAGAGTGTCATGCAACTTCTTCAGGCCTTGATTATCTTGCAAGTAAAGAAAATGCTAAGCTCATGTCTATTTCTGAGAGTATTTTGTAGTAAAGTCAAACAGGAATCTTGTATGTATGCCTGACTACCTTGCCGTATTTATACTTTTGAAGTATTGAACTGATAGAGGATTAAAAGTGAATCAGAATTATATTTTATAGGCATTTCCGTCAGCCAACGTAGGAATTTGGATAGTACACTAAGGGATATTTGAAGCCATCCTAATGTCAACTGTACCTTATGCTCCATTGCCAAATGAACCCCTTATCCAGCTGACCAAGATACCTCCTGAAACTAAACACAGTCTTAAAGAGTCTTAAGGGCTAACTGTTAGTCCAGTGTGGGTTGTGATCTTATGTGATGACCACCTCTATAATGTGCCTTTATCTCTTTTGCATTGACTTCACTGTGGGATTTAGAAGAGTTCTGAGATTTTATGTGGCTCAGTTACTTTTCTAGCAACACAATATCCGAAGTCATCCTGGGAGGAAATGACAGGGAGACTGCCCAAGGCCAGGATCACTCTCACACAGTAAATGATGGGAGGCGTCACTGGGCCTGGGGGCCAACACCTGGTTCAAGATTCCTAATTACCAACTTCGTGTTTCCTATGCTGCTTATGTTGTATGCTTAATTGTATTTATTTCTACTCTTCCAAGACTTCTCTTGCCTGCTGTGGTTTCAGTATATCCCTCCCACCACCAAAATCCTGTGTTAGAAACTTGTCAACACAACAGTGTTCAGAAGTGGGACCTGTAAGAGGTGATTGGGTTATGAGGGCAGAACCCCTATAAAAGGGTTAATACCGTTATCATCAGAGTGAGCTAGTTCTCAGGTTCTTGTTTGTCCCTTTCCACTCCCTGGCTCTGGCAATTGCTCTCTTGCCTTCTTGCTTGGGAGGACACAGCAGGAGGACCCTCCCCAGATGCCAAGTGGACGGAGCATCATGCTCTCGGACTTCCCAGCCTCCAGAACTGTGAGCCAAATAAACTTCAGTTGTTTAGAAATTACCTAGTCTGTGTATTTTGTGATAGCAATATAAAACGCACTAAGAATCCACTCTTCTGACTAACTCTAAATAGAATCTGTGGCTTCATTCCTGCCTGTGTGGCTCAGTGGAGCAGTGGAGTTTAATTAAATCTGAGATTTAATTTAAGGCATGAAGCTGCCTGCCACCTAAGTGTCTCTGAAGAGAACTGGGATCTTAAGCCATCTAAAATGTCTCTTGCAGACAGGTCAAGTTCATCAAAAGTCACCTTCTGCCTGATACGCTGGTCATTAATTCCAGGCAAGTTAATTGATGCATCAGTGACAGACAGTGATGCAACACTCTGTCTGACAGAGCCACCATCTCAGAAAAGTACCTGAGTTGATTCCTTCTAGCACACATCCCTCTGGCTTGGTTAAAGCTGTGTGTTGCTTAAGATTTAATGGTGCACTATCACCGAAGAAGTGCTGTGTGTCTTACAGTTCTATGGGATTTATGAGATCCCTGCTATGGCTAAAACAGGCAACACCCACAGACACACAATCCCCTCAGAACTAAATGGCATGGATACCACGAGGAAGATGTATGTGTCCCAGCCTCCCTCCCCTAAATATGTCATCTGTGCCTTTTAATCACCCATGTAATTTAGGAATGATGCCTCTTCTATGAAGTATTCCAGAAGGCAGCAAGTTTATCAAACTGTGCTCAAAGCCTTGTGCATTTAAATATCTATATATTGACATTCAGTCTTTTTGAAACCTTTCCCTTGAAAAATTCCAGGAGGAATCTGAGAGATAGTGGATTATATGGATTTCCTTTCAGGATTTCTTGCAGTCGTTTACAAATGGATCTGCACAGATTCTGTGGGTCATACTCAAGTTCAAATTCCTCAGACACCCTGGATGTGCCTCACTGCCGCTATCTGGAGTGTTTCTTCTGCGATGATCCAAGCAGTGTACACTCTCCCCTCCTCCAGAGCTTGACTCACATATGCCTGCTCAGTGCTGCCTTCCCTGGGCACTCATCACTCCTTCCCCAAACACTACATTTCCTGTTTCACCTCCCTTAGCCCTTATGAATAGCATCCCTTCTGTGTCACTGTGGATCATGTTTAAATCAGTCTCTTCATGAGCACAAGCTCATGTAGATGCAGACTGTCCATTTCATTACTACCGCAGTGCATAGTGCCCTGCAGTGTAGGTATTAGATAATGACTGGCTTCAACTTCTGAGAATCCTCTGATGGATCAAGGGATGTGCCTAGTGCTAAAGAAGTGCTTAGCATCCCCCATGCACTTGAAAACTCCTCCCAAGAAAGGGGGAACCTAGAGGAAGAGTTGGCTTAGCCCTAAACAAAACTCACTACCAAAGGCCAAGACTTCTCCCCTGAAACCCCTGGGTCTCTTTAGGGCCGATTCCCCATGAGTTGTGGGGGAGATTCTAGAGGAAAGAAAACACAGGTTATCCTGAGCTCTAACATCAAGGGGCTTGATCTGCTGAGATGAACTTGAAACTGAAAATCCACCACTCATTCTCCCTGGCATCAGGGGTTCCATTTCACAGGGCCTCAACTTCATATTTTAAAATGTGAAGATTTTGCTTCCCTCATCTAGTAATTGTGAGAAGAAGGGTGAAATAACATATGTAAACAAGTGTTTTTGGAATGTCAAAGAGAAGTTGAAACTGTGAGCTGTTATCTACTCAGCCCCAAGCCACCTACCCACCTCTCTCTCTCCACAGTGAGTTTGGTTTAGGGGGTTCCTTGACTTAGCTGCACCTACCGTGGCCAGGAGGGAATCCAAGAAGTTGCCAGAAAAGACAGCTCCTGTGGCAAAGGAGGTACTGAGATGAAGGCTGGTTCCTGTGAGGGACCCTTCTAGCCCACCAATTTGTTCAATGAAGTGAATGTTGGAAGGATTTTCTGCAAGGCAAAAGAGGCAAAAAGGAAAGGCAGGGAGACAAGCATATGAGGCAGACTAAGAATGGCCAGTGGTCTGTCTCTACTTCAGTCCACTTTTTTCCTTTCCAAATATCTTCTTCTTCTAAAGATCTTTTTTCCTCTAAAGATGCATATCTCTCCCTCTTGGGTATCTTCATCTTCAAGGGGACATTCTCCAGGGAAGCATCTGATTGTCACCTTTATATAACTTATCTTTGGAACTGAGACACTTCTGGAGGTAAAAGGGGACACTATAGAGTTACACTGGGACACTAGGCATCAATGTGGAATTTGTCACCCGTTACAGTCCTTTCTCATAATACTATGCCGTAGATGACTTTGCATTTACTTAGGTTCCTAGAGTTAGCTGAGCCCAAGGTGAATTGGAACCATGACTTTCAGAATTTACTGTGCATATGAATCAGCTGGGCTACTTGTTACGATGCAAGTTCTGTTTCATGGGTCCAGAGTAGGGCCTGAGAATCTATGTGTCCAGCACATGCCCAATGCTCTGCTACAGCCATTCATGAATCACACTCTGAGTAGCAAAGGCATAGAGAATCCTCATGATTGAAGCCAGAGCAGCTGTAGCCAAATTACCCATTGGAATAGCGATATTGGTCCCAGGCTACAACTAACACCCCTGTAGATAGATTCTGCAGTGAACATAATTGGCCTTTGTTGGGAGTGAGAGCAGAGGCACCCATTGCCTTTATTGTACTGACTGCCTTTGTTGCTGGGCTATATGTAGCTTCAAGAATGTTTATAGAGAGAGCAGCATTCTAAGATAGAGATGCTGTCTCCCATCGGAGCAGATAAAAATGCATGTTTACCATGCTGACTGCCTATTGTAAAAACATACTGGCTTCCTAAATTCAGAATCCTTTCCTGTATAGCAATCTACTGAAGTCACCAGTATCATGACCTCTTCATGTCACTCTGTGGGAAGCAGGTCTTGAGCAACCAACATAAAAATGGCGATACTCTGGCTACTGCTCTTGCTGAGAGTAATAACCTTTGTCTTTCACCCAGGGGTCTTGTGTCTCTGTCAGCATCCATGGGACTGTGGCAGGTTAATGTGTTAATTTGAAGATAAAATAAATCTTGGACCCTTTATAGTTCTTAACATTAAAATTACTATACAGATCAAATCAAATCCACCGGACATACAACTCAGAAAGCATTCTTTACTAAGATTGCATTATTCCTCGATTCCTTAAATTATTCCACAGTAAGTTAGGGGAAACTGACATACTGTTGGTATTAATGAATCACTTTCTTCTGACAACAGTAATATTCTTATAATTAATGGGCAGGGCATGACTAATACCAACCCACATCTCTTAGGTATGCCTACTTCTCTCTCCTTGCAATGTAACCCTCAGTGCACCCACATATCCAATAAGCCTTTGTCCAAGTCTGGCTGTGACACCTAAACCAGAGGCCTCAGTGCTTCTTATAATTTTCCTGCAGGTCCCTGTACATTCTGTGCCAAAGTGCTGGCAGCCAACCATGACTAGTTCCCATGTCAGTGTGACCCTTCTCAGTCAGAGAAAGAACAAGAAATTGAGTGAGTTGGCAGGTGACCTGATAGCTAATTTGACAAGGGTTGCCTGGTGCCAGGAAGTCTTTAGCAGAACAAGCTTGTAAGTCCCTGGTGTGTGACCAGACACACCTCTGTGCCAGTGCAAAACTGACTCATCTCCTCCCAACCATTCTAACCTCTGTCTTCTTCTAATTCATATACTTAGTGTATTTACACCATGGGAGTTAGGAGATAGTCTAAAAGGAGAGAAAAATTACAATATAAATAAAAGCTAAGCCAACAGTTTCAAGGTGGTCCAAACAGGCTGGCAGGTGCTGATTGTAATCTGTAGATCTGAGATGCTCCAATCTGAATGTGAGGAGTCTCAGGCCCTGGGTCAAGGAATGTTTTTCACATGCTGTATTGTCACTCCCACCTGTCATGGCAGGGGTAGGGAATATGGCTGCAAACCCTCTCCAAATTCTCCTGAGTCATTCTGGGATGAAGAGATCTGCTTATCTAGTTTTGTGCAAGTCCCACTGGGTTTAGGTATCCCAAGTCATAAAATGCCAACTAAACATTTTGCTATATATAGAATCAGACCAAATCACATTCTTACAACCAGCTTTAGTGATCAACTGTGTTAAAGGTACCATTCCCCTCTTCCATATCTTCCACACTTTTCTCATTAATCCTTATTACCAGTGAACCCCAGCACGTCCTTTAGTACCCGAACAGCACCCTCCCAAATCCACATGCTCCCCCTTCACTATCTTCCCTCACCCTGCTTCCTGCTTATCATATCTGGAAATGTTTCAGAAATGCTTGTTTTCCTTAATGTGTTGGTAAAAGTTAACAGCTTAATCTGTTATTTGTCCAAGGGATATTTCCATTTTAGAAGTGTATCACTCAGGGGTGGGATTAGGATGATGCTAAAGAGACACCTGGGATATAAAATTTAAGAACCCCAGAGCGAGCTCAAAGACTGCATATGATATGCCTCACCTGCTTCACCCTAGTCCTGGCCCTGGTATGGCCAGCAGAAAGAAAATGCCTCACCTCAAGTCTCATGATGAGTAGATGGCTCAGTATAGGCAGAGCTTTTCTAGCAGTTTTCAAATCCATGCCCCTCCCTATGGATAAGACTGAGCCGGTTGGTTGCTGGTCTCCTTTCCTCTCCTCATACCAGACATTATTACTGCACCCTGAGACCCAGAGAGAACAGGCTCTGCTGGATGATGTCATTGTCGGTTGGGTAAAAAGCCCAATGTGACATCCAGTCAAGCAATTAAAGCTCTTTGGGCCCCATTTTAGTTCATCTGTCCTTCGACTGTGGATTCTAAAAAGAACCTTGGGACATCAATTATGCATCATAAAGATCTCTCCCTGAATTTTGTCTTCAAAATACAACTTACTCAGCTCAGTGAGGATGGGGATTCGTCGGTTTTGGTATTTTGATTTCTTGTATTCATTAAAGTCAGATGAAATCCCTTCTGTAGACACAGACAACAACAAAGAAAAAAAACCTCATGATAAAATGCAAACACTGGGCTAAGGTGTATAAGAACACCATGTGATTAGATGCTTTATCTTAGCAAAGTTACTTTCAGGTCCAAATTCCAATTTTTTTCCTAAATTCAGAAAAAAAATATTAAAATTTTCCTTTGCTATCTTCAGGGAATTGGCTCCAGGAACCCTTGTGGATACCAAAATCTTTGGATGCTTAAGGCCCTATTTATAAAATGACATACTATTTGCATAGAACCTGTGCCCATTCTTCCATACTCTTTAAATTATCTCTAATAGATAATAGAATGTAACTGATATGTAAATAGTTATTGGCATTTTATTTAGAGAATAATGCAGAAAAAAAGGTCCATGTTAAGTATAGGTTTGTTTTTTTCTTTTCCTGAATATCTTATGTCTGTGGTTGGGCTCAACCTCCAGATGTGGACTCCACATAAAGAAGACTGATTGTGTTTGGGTCTCCTCAGTGTCTCTTTGTGAGAATGGTGTGTGTGTATATGTCTGTGTGTGCATTTGTGCTTTTAAAATGATGCTTCAGGTGAATTGCAATACAGGCAAAGCTCTCCCAGTAGTTGCTTACTGATATTATTACTAAGATGATTATTCTCCATGGAGAATAATCTAACTGCATGAATTTGCTTACAAAACTTTTAGGAAACTGTTAATAAATTGGTGCTGCTATTCTGTGACTACTTTGGTGGAAATTGCAACTGGCATCTGGTTCCTAGTGTAATCTACCTCTTTCAAAATTCTCTGTAGGTGGAGACACTTTCTTCTGCTTCTCAGAACTGGCTGTGTCCCTCAACCTTGTCTCTACTTGCAATGCCTGGGGATTACACAAAGATTGGGACAGGATGTCACTTGAGGCTCAGTTTACAGGCAATTTTCCTTCTGCCCTAAGGCAGAAAGGACAGTTCATTCCCCTCTATGAGCTTCGGCTCCAGAATAGGGCTGATGTGTTAACTTAGGCTAGAAACACAGTTTTACCATGTGTTGAGCTATGAAGAATGTTTAAAAAAGTATCACATCCGAGTTTAGGTCTCCAAGTTAAACTAACAATGTAAAGATAGAAAACAGAAGAGAGAAATGGAAAACTAGGGTGCAGTTTTAAAAAAATCATAGCACACTCAACATAAGAGATACTTTATAACTGGTTACTTTTCTTGAATTTTTCTGAGGATGCTGTGGAACAGAGAAGTTATCATGAAAGTTCAAAATCTACTGATAAGTGAAAGGAATAGGAGGTCTCAGCGGGCCCCAACCCCCTTGTTGGAGAAACCAGTACCAAACACCCCATGTAGATAAGATAAGCAATGCGGCAGGGCTCAGTTAGGGCATATAGAATGTGGGGAATGTGAGCGGGGGGTACATGCAAGATGTGAAGTACGTGCAAGATGTGAGGTACGCGCAAGATGTGCTCTGCCTGCTTGCCCAATGTTGATAACGAAAATATGCATGCCACTGTGGTCTATATAAGATTTCCCCTAAAGAGGCTCAGGGTCGTGTTTTCCTAACCGGTCCTGCATGTCCGTGTGGGAGCTCGACCCTGGCTAGCCAGCCCAATAAACTCTGCTTTGTTGATTGCATTCACGCCTGGCTCTCTGTCTCTCGGGGGAATAGGATTCCGGGTCCTAACATTTGGAGGTCCCACCGAGATTTCATTTTCTCGAGAGACAGAACCTGCCTGCGAGAAAGCAGGGGCGATCCCAAGTCCTAGGCGTTGGGAGGGGATCCCAGACCCTCATTTGGAGGAACTTGAGTGTTCCATTTGGGCCGCGGCGGGGATTCGGCCAATCCCCAGGGAGATTCATTCTGGGAATCTCGCAAGGAGGACCACAGGGTCCTATTGGGAGAGGCTTTCCTCTCATTTGGGCTCGAGCATTTTAGGAACCCTGGCGCCAGGTGAAGAACTAATTGAGCTAGTCGACCGACCACCCGTCAAGTGGACGCCTTTCGGCCTGATATCCCAGTTGGACGGTGAGGAGGTTGAATGGGGTGCGCACCAGTGTGAGAGAAGGACCGGTCCGAGCGAGTGCTGGAGAGTGTTGTGTGTGTGTGGAATTATTGTTGCCTTTACCCTTTTTGTTCTATCTCTCTTGGTGTTTGAGTCTCCTTCCACAATGGGACAGGGACAAACAACCCCAAAGTCTCTGATCCTTTCTCACTTTCAGAAGTTAAAGAAAGGGCCTTAAATGCGGGTCTGGTCATCAAGAAAGGTAAGTTCGACACCTTTTGTTCTGCAGAGTGGCCCACCTTTGGAGTCGGGTGGCCCATTCAAGGTTCCCTCTCCCTAGACCTGATCACTAAGGTTAAAGCAGTCATTTTTCAGCCAGACAATCGAGGCCATCCAGACCAAGTTCCTTACATTTTGGTTTGGGAGGATCTGGTGAGGAACCCTCCCCCTTGGTTAACAGTTTTTCTGACCCACCCCTCCAGTTCGGCCCCCGGGGCTAAAACCCCAGTCACGCCCGCCTTGGTCATAAAGGAGGAGGAAAAACTTCCTCTTCCCACCTTGACCGGTCCTCAAATTAGGGCATCTCCTTCACCATCTCCGGTCTTACCAGAGAGTTCCCCCCTTTACCCATCCCTCGCAGGGGCAGAGGAAGATCGGCCGCCTCCATACGTGACTCCCCCTGGCCAAGCCAGTGCCCCGGAGGAGGAAATTTCCTCATCCTCCTCAACAGGACTGGCAGCAGGAGGAGGAATGGGTCGAAGACTTCGCCCCCGAGGGATCCGGGAAAGGGAGGGGGAAGACGGGCCCCCTCATCAACACAGGGGGAGGAAACTGTCCCTACACTTCCAGTCCGGATGGTGGGCCAAGGGGGACCGGGAGGAGGGCAACAGTTTCAGTACTGGCCCTTCTCCTCCAGTGATCTATATAACTGGAGGACGCAGAACCCGCCCTTTTCTGAAGACCCCAAGTGTCTCATAGATCTCTGGAGTCCATCATGCATACACACCTCCCACTTGGGATGACTGTCATCAGCTGCTCAATACTCTTTTTACGACGGAGGAACGAGAGCGCATCCTCAACGAAGCGAGGAAGAACGTCTTGGGGGATAATGGGAGACCCACAACTCTCCAACCGGCCATAGACGAGGCTTTTCCCCTACGCCGCCCTGATTGGGATTTCGGGACCGCAGAAGGTAGGGAGCGTCTTCGGATCTACCGCCAGACTCTTATGGCCGGTCTCCGAGCGGCCGCTAGAAGGCCCACCAATTTTGCAAAAGTGAAAGCAGTCGTTCAAAGGGAAAACGAAAGCCCGGCCGGTTTCTTAGAGCGCCTCTATGAGGCATACCGTCAGTACACCCCTATTGACCCTGAGGCGGACCTCCACCGGTCTGCTGTGGTACTCTCATTCATTAATCAGGCAGCTCCAGACATTAGGAGAAAACTCAATAAACAGGAAAACTTAGGGGAGATGACTATAAGGGAAATGCTACAGGTAGCAGAAAAGGTCTTTACCGCTAGGGAAACTCCAGAAGAAAGGGAGGAAAGACAGAGAAAGGAAGACAGGGAGGCCCAGGAGAAATTGAGAAAGGAGGACCGGGAGTTCCAGGCTAAGGAAAACCGAAAGCAACAGAGAGAAATGGCTCGTATTTTCCTAGCGGGTGTCCGGGACCAACCCAGGGGAGGGGGCCACGCCAGGACCCCGGATAAGGAACACTGTTTTTACTGTAAGGAAACGGGGCATTGGAAGAGAGAATGTCCTAAGTTAAAGGGAAGAAGAGGGTTTGGAAGGAGACCGGGGGAAAACAGGGAAAGGGAACGAGCAGTAGAGCAGGCCAGAGTCCTCCTAGCCGGAGAAGAGGACTGAAGGAGACGGGGCTCAGACCCCCTCCCCGAGTCCTGGGTAACAATGCATGTGGAGGGGAAGCCGATGGGGTTCATGGTGGATACCGGCGCCCAATATTCGGTTTTAAACAAGGCACATGGACCTTTGAACAAGGCACGAACAAGTGTTGTTCAGGGGGCCACCGGTACGCAGTTATGTACATGGACTACCAAAAGAAAGGTGAACTTAGGAAAACACCAGGTCACACACTCCTTCTTGGTCGTCCCTGAGAGCCCCGCTCCCCTGCTCGGACGGGACCTACTCACCAAAATAGGGGCCCATATCCATTTTGAACCAGATGGAATAATTGTGACTGATCGAGAAGGGAGCCCGATTCATGTCTTGTCCCTATCATTGGCTGACGAGCATCGTCTGTTTGAGAGTCAACAGGAACCAGGAGGGGACATGACTCATTGGGTAAAAAGATTTCCCACGGCCTGGGCGGAGACTGCGGGAACCGGCCTCGCCAAACACCTCCCGCCCGTAGTTATACAATTGAAGGCTTCTGCTCTCCCCATTCGGGTGAAACAGTATCCTATGCCTGAGGAGGCCCGAAGAGGCATAGCCCCTCATATCCACAGGCTAATAAAGGAAGGAGTACTGCGGCCTTGTCAGTCTGCCTGGAATACTCCTCTGCTCCCCGTCCGAAAGCCGGGAAGCGGGGACTATAGGCCTGTGCAAGACCTACGAAAGGTAAACGAGCGGACGGAGGACATTCATCCCACCGTTCCGAATCCCTATACCTTGCTCAGCCACCTACCCCCTCGCAAGTATGGTATACAACCCTTGATTTGAAAGATGCTTTCTTCAGCATTCCATTGTCAGAAATTAGTCAGCCGCTATTTGCTTTCGAATGGCAAGAAGATGGGGGCCAATCCGGACAGCTCACTTGGACCAGACTGCCGCAAGGATTTAAAAACTCTCCCACCCTGTTTAATGAGGCCCTGAGCCAGGACCTGGAACCTTTTCGTCGGAGCCACCCACGAGTCACTCTATTACAGTATGTTGATGACTTACTGTTAGCGGCAGAAACCCGAGAGGAGTGCATCAAGGCTACTGAACACCTGCTAACGGAATTAGGTGAGCTGGGGTATCGGGCAAGTGCCAAGAAAACTCACATCTGTAAAAGGT